AGCTGGGCCCGGGTCTGCCGGGCTGGGCGGGGATGTGCTGGGGGGGCAGGCAGGGCCCCGGCCCAGCCTGGGGGCACCCCGAGCCTGCCCCGGGCTGGGCTGCTTCACCCGGCCGCTCCCGGGGGCTGCTGCGCCGGTTTTCTTCCCGACAAGTGGGTGCCCAGGGAAGGGCTCTGCTCTCCAGCGGTAGCTGGGGGACCGGAGCAGAGACCACAGGCCCGGTCATGCCGTCGGGGTGCAGCAAAGCCTGAGGAAAGAACCAGCTTTCATAGGTTTGTTATAATGCACGTTAACACATTTAGGAGCACCGTGTAACTTTCCAAAGAAGTGTGTGATAGATGTTAGTGCAAATTTTTTTATAATAGGTGTGGTAAATTATCCAGATCACTTAACTTTAAAGTAACAATAAAGGAGGCCTTGATTAAAATGGATTAGTTATCCTAGCTAGGTGTTGTTAGGCCTTTGTTACCAGTATAATTGCAAACTAGTCATATGGGCAGAGCAGGATCTGTGCTGTAAGTCTTAACGTTACTTAAATCTCCTGCATATTGTCCTGTCATTTCCAAGAAGACATCAATCTTCTGCAAAGCAGGAGTGTTTTTTTCAGGTAACAGGTGACTCACAGGCGATGGGTTAAGTGTGCTACCCTTTGTGTCCTGATATTTGGGTTGTGTTTGTGCGTGCAATTCCATTTTTTCTCATGCAAGACTGGCATCTAGCTGATCTGAGGGTTGCATGACCATTCATCTTTGGGATAAGTATCCCAGGGAGGGAAGGATAGAGGAATGGCTGGAGAAGGGTTTTGGTGATCATCTGCTCCTAAAAAGTGTAGAATTGCAATAAGAGGGAGAAAGAGCAACCTGAAAAATCCCTGCCTGTTTCCTTATGAGAAAAATTAACAAAACCTTCACCAGCTTTCTTTATTTTTCTGCCTGTAAAGAAAAAAAGTTTTAGGCAAGAGGAAATAAAAGACACGTTTGGAAGCTGAAGGAAACTATTAAAGAGAAGAAACAGAAGCCAGTACATGTATTCACTAGAAAGTAAGTAACAGGAGAGGTGACAGAAGTGCAGAAAGATCAGAGGATAGAGCAGGAAATGCAGTTACCCTATGTGAAAACAATACAAATATTAAAGAAGAAGATAGAGAAAGGGAAACAACATAAACACGTTCTTTTAAAAAATGTACTGGTTGTTGCATTTAAGTGAGCCATAATGATTTAGTCCTGTATATAATTTTGAACAGTCCTGCTTTTTGAGATGGGTTTGGAGCTGCTGATATAGATACAATTTTGTTTAGGATGCTAGAAGTAAGAGTGCCAGCCATTGTAATTATGTTATGGTGAATCTGCTGACAAGACTCTTACATTGGTGAGCATGGTTGCAGATTCCTGCATGCATGAAAAAGGAGTAGGCAAAACTGCTTAATATTTTCCTCTCAGCTTCGATGTGTTGAAGGATAATACTGGTTGTTGTTGGGGGTGTGACTGCAATTCCAACACCTTTCTGGTCTCTGAGTCCAGTCCTTGAGGTGAGTAGAACAGTACTCATAGGTGTCCTTGGCTGAAATGTTTTTCTCCAATCCCTAGAGCACAGGATCAGGCAGTGGGGTCCTCTGAGCTAACTACTTTTCATGTCAGAGCAGGTGGAAACTGCTTTCCCCATGTCACTTACCACAACTTAGAAATCCAATACATAAATTACATAAAGGGGTATATCGGTCAATAATCCTTACTGGATGGGGTGCATCCATTGCCATTATAAAAGTGGGCAGACTAGCAGGGATACTATGATTATTGGAGGCCGTTTCTACCATTCTTTATTGTAGAACCAAAGATACTAGGTTAGACAGAAATGTCTGGCCCAGGCCATTTGTCATGTCTGTGAAAAGCCTGCAGCTGGTGGTTAGAAAGAGGTTGTCCTTCTTCAGAATGTCCTCTGCAAGCTTCTTCTAGTCTGCTGCATTGAAGACAGGTTCTGTTGTATTTTGAATGTTGAGTGGTTCTCAGTTTTAGCAGAGTTACCCAGAAAGTAAAAATGTTGTTGCTGTATTTTGTGTCCTGACATCTATTTTGCATTTGTCTCATTTGTGACAGTTGGAAAATTTTCCAAATTATTGTGATGTCTGAAAGCAAAGTTGATACATTTCAGCGCTCTAAGTGGGAGATGATGGATGTTGTGGCAGACTGAAAAATGAGGACCTTTGAGACCTGGTGGTTTGCAACATGAATCTTAGGGCAAGTTTTGCATGAGTGCAGTGGTAGGATTTTTACCAGTATTTTTAGGAGAAGTACTTAAAAATTAAATCCCAAAAGAAGGAAAAAAAGGACTTTCAGAAGCCAAACTGAAAAATACTGCACTGAGAAAATAAAAGTAGCCCTGAACACTGCCATCCTACCTAAAAATTATTAATTCCTTAATTTATTTTTTATTTTTAATTTGAGATACTCTATTCTTTTCCTCCTCTCAACCATTTAACATACATCCTTAGGGTCCCAAATCTGTTTTGAAGTGCACAGGCTTCCAGCATACCCTGAAGACAGTTTAAACTCTGTCAGCTACAGTGAGAACCCTTCCTGGAAACATTTGCATTGCTAAAATGCAAAAGCTAGGTGGAAAAGTCATCAACACCTGTAGTAGTCATGATGGACCTGCTGACCCAATGTAAAAACCAGGCTCACTTCTGTTACTGAAGCTTTGGGGAAACAAAAAAAAGGTGGAATACTGGTGTAGACTTACGCAGGGAAGACATTTCCCACAACTGGTATCACAGAATCATAGAGGTTGGAAAGCACCTCTGAAGATCATCGAGTCCAACCCCCCTGCCAGAGCAGGGTCACCCAGGTCAGATCCCACAGGAACGCATCCAGATGGATCTTGAAAGTCTCCAGAGAAGGAGACTTCACAGCCTCTCTGGGCAGCCTATTCTAGTGCTCCATCAGCCTCACAGCAAAGAAGTTTGCTTCAGTACAAAGTTTAAAGTATTGACTAGCATGCTTTTAGCATCTTAGCTGGAAATGAGGGCATCTCTCTTATTCCTTGGCAATTCACTCAAGTGACTGTATAGAAAGTGCGATCACAAACCGTGCAGGTGTGACTCTCATTGAAGTTGCATGTGGCCACTCTAGGACTGAGCTGGATACTGTTGATAGTTACATGGATGTTTTTTGTTTTTTGTTCTTCCCAAGGCTACAACTACATAGCTCACAGGATTGCTGAGAGGATCTCATTGTATGAGATTTTTGTTAGATCCTCTTTTGTCAGGTCTTCTGGAGGAACACTGAACCAAAAGGAAGTGAAAAGGAAGTATTCACTTAGGTTTGAGCTTTCTAGCACCTGAGTTAGGGCCCTCAGGTGTCTTACCTCTCCAGCAACAGCTGAGACAATGGCACTCTTATGTTTCCAGGAGAGATACTCAAGCCTGAGGAGTCTCAGGCTTTGGGTAGGCAGGCAGTGATGCTTGCTGTTTGTTTTTTGTTGTTTGGTTGTGTTGGGTTCTTTTTAGTTCTCATAAGTTCTCATAACTTAAGCTTCAAGTTATGGAAGCTTAAGTTTTGCAGTGGAGCTTTCACAAATACTTGATGTCAGCCCCAATGCTTCACTGGGTGCATGGCCCATCAGAAGCTGGAAATTCACTGAAAGGTGTAGCTTAAAATTTTACATTTATCCTAATGGCAGGGGGATTAATTTTCTTTTTTAAATTGGTTTCCTTATATTGCATCTTAGCTGTTAATCATATAAATAATTTATTAGGCTTACAATTCCTAAAATCAAGCTCAGAAATGCTCAGAGCACTCCAGCAAGCTTATAAACTGCTTGGTAGGGCAGACACAGCATGTTTGTAGTACTGCCCAGTATCCTCATCTTCACTCTGCTTGGATTCAGTCAGTGCCTGTGGCTTGATTGCACATTAAATTTGTGGTGTCAATTATTTGGGTAACTCTTCCTGTGTCCTTGGGGAAGTCTCCCATCTTTAAGGCTTTACCTTCAGGGATGCAGCTACAGGTAGTAGGCACTGCTGCCAAGAACCTTTTTTACTATTTATGTGGATAGTTTCTGAGCATGATGGAAATAATTTTTAAAAAGTCTTAAGGACGCTGTGGTTGATACTTTGCTGGCAATAAAAATGACAAAAACCGCCAAGATAAAGAGACATTAATATCTTTATTTAGTCAGGTGTGGTGGCTTCTAACCTGTAATTCATGTGGGCTGGGCAGGGGAGGAGTTGGTGTTGAATGTCATGAGCTGATTTGGGATTACTAATACTGTTAATGTTACAGTTTGGTCAATCTGCTGAGTAGCTACCACTGAGAAAGGAGCTTTCTTCTTAATTTTCCCTTCTTTTCCTACAATGAGCCATTTCACAAAGTTAAATTGAGACAAACTACACTTCTGAAAAATAGGTTTTCTGGTCTGGATCCCCAGGCAGTTGGAGAGACGGTGCTCTTACCAGTGCTAGGAGGGAAGTGGGAATATGTAGGTGGGGGTGGAGGAGGAGGAATCAAGTCTCCCTTTGATAGCAGCTGGCAGTTGCATTGCCTCAGCCTTAGCATTGGTTAAAAAAATCAGCCAAAAGGACAAAATGTAAAAAGTGAAATCTACTGCTATGTTTTATGACACACATATGTATTAGAGTTTTGTCATTTTGGTTATGGAAAGTATTGTTCTAAACTGAAACAAAAATAATTAATGTGTCAACCTTTTTCCTCTTTCACACAGGAAGCAACAACTTTATATGGCTCATGTCTGACAACATGCACCACCAGTGGCTGCTGCTAGCTGCATGCTTTTGGGTGATATTCATGTTCATGGTTGCTAGCAAGTTTATCACATTAACTTTCAAAGACCCAGATGGTAAGTTCAACTTTAATGTTTGATGTGAAGCAGAAAATGGAATAGTGCTTCACTCAAACATTCTTTCTGTGCAAGGTAGTTCTAGGCATGTTACCTCTCCTTCAGTAGGACTGAGAACAGAACAACTAAATTTCTAGAAGTGACAGTGCTGATACTCAGTTTCTGCTTTTCTTTTTAGAAGTCTGCAAAACTATAATTTTGTCCCCTTTTTTTGGTGGTGATTGGAGGGCATCAGTTTTGGCAGTACCATCTTGTGAGGTCTGCTTTTTCAAATACATTCAGCTTCAGTAGTTTGATCTACTGGGAGTGGAAGTTAAAGTTCAAACTAGTGGAGCACAGTTATCTCTTTAAAGACAGAATTAGAGAGTTCATTTCACATGAAAACAGTTTCTGTCCTATTGTGACTGTTTGTCCCATGGTTGCAGTATTATGTAAAAGTTGCGGGAAGTCTTATTTCACTTAGCCTAGCCACCTCTGCCCTGCTTCTTGCATTCAGTTTTATCCTCTGCTGTTTGACTGACAAACAGCTTACAGGCTTTTGCTTAGCTTAAATAGCCCAGATGGTATTAAGCTGATGAGGAATTTAAGCCATTTGATGACACTACCACACAGCATGTTAGTTTTTTGTCTGCTGAAGTGCTACAGTTATAAAGGCATCCTACTGAGAGTTTAGGGTGAAGGTGATGACATGGCATACAGTCCTAAGAGATCTGTATTTCTGCATCTTCCCAAGATATGCAAAAAATGTGTAGCTTTTTTTTTTGAGTTTGTTCATTTGTTATGGCAGTCTAAGGAAGGCCATCAGTCCAGTAATAAAGGAAGAAAGGATCTTGTATTTGTTCCTTGTTAGAGGTGTTTAAGAGCACCAAAGAAATACAAGGTCATCCTTAGTGACACTTTTCTTCTGGTAATGTCTAAGAGTTTACAACAGAAGAAACTTATCTGCCAATATTGAGGGGAGGGAAAAGCCTGATAGATTAAGTGTTTCATTTGGACATGCTTTGGGAAGTTTATTGGGTAAAAAAATTTTCATACTGTCAAGTCCATATAGGTATATTCAGTTGTCCACCAGTTCTGAAGTTGGATTTACAATTTCGATGTCTTTGCACAGTTTGTTTTTAAAAGGCCAGAATAAAAGATAATGGACATTTATTTGATAAAACCCAACTGACGTTGCATCCAGAATTTTCATAGAATACATCCTTTAAAGTATTCATAGTCTGTCTCATGTCTTGTTTAGTACCTTCTCATTTGGAAACAAATCCTAATGTTTTGTAAGTGTAATACAGAAAGCAATGTTCAGCTGTGTTAGCTGTAAAGCAGAAATAGTTGTCTTCCCCTCACACTCTGTGATTCTCTTCTTTCTTCCTTCTTTAGGCTACAGTGCCAAGCAAGAGCCACTGATACTGACAGCTGTGACAAAAGTGGAGGAGGTACATGTGCCAGAGGAAAAACATTGGCCTGAAGAACTCCAGGTGCATACTGTTGAGATTAGGGTTACATGTAATAAAGGGTGGGAGAAAATAAGAGTAAGGGCTCCCTGTTGTTAAAAGGACTTGCTAGACAGGAATTATTTACTCAGACTGTTCTATTTAGAGCCAACAGAATTCATTTTAGCTTCACAAAGCTCGTTTTTACAATAACCTGCTGTCTTGTTTCATCTGAATCATTCAACTTAATGTGTTTCAATTTCTAGGAGAAAATTGTTACAGTACTCCTTTATCAAGTCAGGACAGTTATTTTTGCTAGCCTTTTTAATATAATGGCCCAATTTTGGATTATTTTTATTCTGCCTTGCCATAGCCATCAGGTTTGTGGTTCTTGAGGGCAAACCTGTGTCTAGCCTATTCTCTTAGTTCTCTGCCCAATCTCTCTGATTCTTTTTGTCAGTGTCCATTTTATTTTTATGTTTTGTGGTCTTTGTGCTCCACATCTCAGCTTTTCCCAAAGTAGAACATGAACACAACAGTACTTATTACCAGTGAGACATATCATACAGTTCATCCATTTTTGGGGGGAGGAGTCCTGCCTACTTCTCTTATTAGCCACAGTAAGTGCTGGTGCTCATTGTGAAAATTTTTGTCCACCTAATTTTGTTGCAGCTTGCATAAATGAAACAATGAATGCCTACAGGTGCTAGAAAACAACACGGAACTTTTACCCTAAATTCTTCTTTCCCAGCCAGATGGATCAGCATCCCTAAGCTCAATCTTCTCAGCGATTAAAGTTTAATTTCTGTTGAGATTCCTGTCTCAACCCCTCAGAAGGTCTCTTACTTGCTGTTGAAGCTTTGTGGGAGATCCAATATTTGGTCAAGGCATGTTGTATCCACACAGTTAAGACCCTGCTGCTCTGAAGCAGACTTAACATTGTTTTATGGAAGAGCTCTTGCTACTGTCTCCTACTACATAATGACTTAAGAGTCAAACCAACGTGTACAACAGCAGCATAGGAAAGAAACTGTGTGCTACGCCTTTAGTTAACACATAGCAATGTTTTAATTGTGAATGTGGGAGTCATTAGGATGCATAGTTTGGGGACTTTTACACTTCAGAATTTGATCTGAAAACTAAATTCTTACACTCTTTTTTTTTTTCTTTCCCCTCTCGTTTTCTTAAAGCCAACTGGAAAAGCTTTTTCTGGAAATCTGATCCGCCAGCCCCTGGTTCATATGGAAAGACTTGAGCTTCTCAGGAATGTCTGCAGGGACACTGCATTGAGAAATCTCTCTCACACTGCAGTTTCCAAATTCGTCTTGGATCGAATATTTGTATGTGACAAGCACAAGATCCTGTTTTGTCAGACGCCAAAAGTGGGCAACACTCAGTGGAAAAAAGTCTTGATCGTTTTAAATGGTATCTACTCTGCTGTGGCTGTGTGGGTTTCTCTTAGGAGGAGGGAAGAGCAGAATTGGGACAGCACAAAAATGTATTCTTTCTCCTTTTCTGTTCACTGATACTTATTTTTAGCCTTTCAGTCTTCACAGTTGCTTCTAGTCCTTTCAAAACATCTCTTTTAAAGAAAATAAACCTGTTCTTTCTGTGAAAAGACATATTTTTATCTCTTGGCTCAAAAGTTACTTGAGTCATGAAAAAGTACCCGTATACATGTGTTAGGTTGATTAGTTATCTTTGAAGAGGTAGCATCAATTTACAGAATTTGATAGAAGTAAATTAGAAGGTATCACAGTTACCTAACAAACAGCGATGTAAATTTTCTGTCTTGAAGCCACTGACTTAACCACAGTTTTTTAGCCATAAAAGAATCTAGTTAAAACTTTGCAGCTGCTGTTGGTCTGTAATGCTGAAATCCTGTGTATGTGCTATCAGTGAGCCATCACAGGAGTGTTAAAAACACTGAGGTGCTTAAGGTGATAGTTTGGTCAACACAGATACGTTATAAAAGGCTGTAAGAGAAGGAGTAAAGGGACTAGTGTGCTTGAGTAACTATCTGTGAGGTGAACACTGCCTGCCTATAAGTAGCCTACCATCCTCTTATATTAGCCTGGTCTGCCAATAAAAATAACTTGTTTCCTCAGGGTTTTCTACTTTACCACTATCTGCACACATTAACTTCATCGTATTTAACATAACAGACCATGCTTTACCACTATCTGCACACATTAACTTAACTTCATCGTATTTAACATAACAGACCATGTTTGACATGACACCTTCTTGCCTTTTTGTGCACCAGGGCTGTGAACTTACTGCAAATAGTCAGGTCAGTTGAGGTCCTTCTGTGGTTTTGCAGGTGGCATAGCTCACGAAAATGTGGGCAAAACCTGAACACTGTGAACCCAGCTTTCTTGTTACAAGCACCCTGCCAACAGCCAGCTCTGCACTGATGTTTTTAGGTTTTCTGTCTGTTGTGTGAGCTGGTTTGCACATCCAGAAGGAAACGGTCACAATTTGGCAAAGGAACTGTGTCTGTCAGCAAAACCTTTGTAGCAAGGAGTGTGTCTTTAAAGCTTTTATTACTAGTTTCAACTTTAATATATGGATGGAAACTGAAAATCCAGCAAAGATATGCATGCATGTAGGTGTGGGCCTGTGTCTTAAAAGCTACACTCCAAGGTGTCCTAAATAGGAAATTATATCAGCACATTAGAAACAGTTACAGAATTTAACAGAGATAACATGCAAAGAATAGCGCAGGACAGGCAGGGATGTATTGGCTTTGTTGAGGGGAGGGTATCTCATGTCTTACTAGCAGGAAGTCTTTCACCTTGAGCTTCCTAATTCTGGCATGTTGGATAGCAATAGAAAATTTCTTCCGTATAAACACTTGTCTCTTGCCTTGAGCTGCTGATGGACTAGTATCTGCTGGTGAAGACTGCTGCAGACAACCTAACTCTTTCTTTTTTTGGGTAGTTTTGTTAGGCAGGAGTGATACTTGCGGGGCAATACTTTATGTCCAAATACCTAAGTGGTATTTGGAGGTTCAGGATGGAGAAACACAGCTGTGGCACTATGGGGGAGCTAACTCCACTACTGCTTGTACTGGATCTCTGCTTTGGATGAATGCAAGGTTTCATTTTCTGAGGCTGTGTAATCTGACATCTGTTGTCCACATGTAATTCAGACAGAGTACCAAAATGTATCATTGGAAAACTGAAATTAATAACCACAAAATAAAGGAAAAAAAAAAAAAGAGAAAACAGAGAAGCTAAGTGGTATGGATTTTTCACTGCAGTTTTGAACAGAGAAGGCTATGGAAGCTTTCATCTAAAGAGCTTGTTTTGTATCCCCCTGTTCTTATTGCAGGTTGGTACTCTGAAATGATGCTGTGGTGGGAAGGTTTACTCCTAAAGCCCAAGGGGCCCACATAAGCTATTTCTCAAGGTCATAAAAACTTCCAGGATCAGGATCTTAAAAGAAATGCATCAGAATGTAGTGACATTATTTTTCTTGTTGGCTTATGTGCTTGCAGAAGTGAATATCTGGAGGCTTTCTTCTGTTCATTTTAGTGCTTTTTAATCTGAGTAGTATTGTATGATTGGAATTTTTGTTTCAGCACAGCATAGTCGTTAAAAGAATTTAATGGATCCTGACAGCAAAGTGCTTTTGTGTTGAAGCAGTTCCAAAAGCAGCCCACATAGTTTATTTTTTGTTGGTGGTAGAAACTCAGCCAAAAAGCTGGTTCCTTCTTTGGAGTTAATCTTCAAAGTCTTCCCCCTTT